AACATTGCAAATATTAAGCAAAAAACACCATGCACTCACTTTTGATTACCAGTATATGTATGCATGTACATATGTGTGTAAACTTTATGCCAAACTATCATTATTTTAAATTGTATTTGCATCTTCATAAAAGGAGAACAAGATAAAAAATTTAACAAAAATTACAAATTAATGAAAATTATGTGAAGATTTACCATATTTTCGTTTATTTGCTCACAAAGAACATCACATTTCATGTTGCTCAACATTGTATTATGTTATCAACATTAAATTCAACAGAATTTTTACATTCCGACTTGAACTTTTCTAACGCTGTTAATTTTTCGTCCGCGAATAGTTTCCACTTTCAGTTTGCACCTTCTCTATCTATCTAAGTTCTCTGTTAAAACCTTCTAAATCTGTTAAGTTCCGACACTCAATAGTTTCCATTTGTTGTTTGCATCTTCTCAGTAATTATAAGTTCTCTGTGCTTGGGCACATGTTTTCCACCAGCTCCATATAGCGGACATGCTTGCCTAATCGGCACCATCTCCATTCCAATTTGTTTGCTTAGTATAGTAATTGGACTGCCCCAAATATCTGTTACCTTAGCGCCTAAATCAGCAATATAATTGTTCTTGCGAAAAGTAGCAATACGGCGCCAACCCGATAGCGCGCTTCTAACACAATGACATCCGTACCGAATCGCTGTAGTTGTTGGGCAGCCCCTAACCCTGAGTTTCCTGCTTCAATTACTATAACTTTGCTCAACTTCTTGGTAGGGGACTTAAACGTTTAAAAAATGCCAAAGTTAATAAAACCATTTCGCTCCAAGGAACGCATGTACGCGCTTCATCAGGTTCGGATCGCTATCGAATGGTGGCTCTATATCTTTTATAGCGTTTTCTATAATAAGCTGCTGCTTTGAATTCTCGATGGACATTTGCAAAAGGTGGTTGCGTATGCTCACGAAAACACGTTGTGCCACCAAACCTGTCTTGGTGATGTCAGAAAAACAGGCGGCCTCATTTGATGTCATCTTATCGAAGGGTAGACGGGACTGAATTGCTGCACCTTCTAAGCCTGTAAACATTTTTTTTTATATGCCTCTGCCGCGGTATGCGTATTATTGGCATTGTTATTGTTGCTGCTACTATTATTGCTTTTTGCCAAAGGTTGTTGGTCTTGGAGGAAGTTGCTGCCGGTGCCAGCGACACTGCTAACGTCAATTACAGTCGCTGCCGACATTACTACATACATATATGCAATTACAGAAATTAAAAGTGGTGGTTTATAAAATTCAAATTTTGATTTTTTTTAAATAACAATTTAATTAACTTAAACTAATTAAATTTTAATTGAGAGGTATTTTCTTATAAATTTTATATCATTTTACCCGTTGCACTGTAACTGGGCATTATTAAATAATTATGAATTAAATTTACAGTGAAGTATACATACATTAAACTAATGTACTATGCACATCCATAGATATGTATATAAAAATAAAATGAATATTATATGAAAAAATTGTAATCTAAAGTTCAGTCTTATTAGATTTATTGTTTTCCGCTTTTAATTTTTTAGTTTTAATATAATTTTTTTAATGCATTTCTATTTTTAATAGACATATCTACTTTTTTTACTTTTTAACTATTCAATTCAAAACCTATTTTATCTTTTTTTAATATTTTATTTTATTTTTTTAATATACATAGAAATGTTCTGCTATTCCAGCAGTGTGAAGTTCCTGTATTGTAATTGTATTTTCTGCCCGCAATGAGTGGTATGTAGTGCTAACTTGACACCATACACCTAGTCGATAGAATTGAGGTATTGAAAATGTTAAAACGGCATTAATTGTAGCTTTGTTGTTATAAATATGTTATGGAATTTGTAGCTTTCGATTTTTAGGAAAAAATGGTATGTAGTGCTAACTTGACATTATACACCTACTCGATAGAATCGAAATATCGAAAAGTGTAGTGCTAACTTGACAGACGTTTACGTTTCTGTTTTGAACTAAATATTTCTTCGACTTTTCTCTTATGGGAACTAGAATTGCTTTGTTTTAGACTAAGTTTTTGCTTTGTGCTACTTTTATTCTGATTACGTGAACCCATATACTCTTCTTCATCATCATACTTCATTTCGCTTTCTTCTCCTATACTAATATCTTGTTGTTGAAATGGTATACCATTTAAGAAAGTAGAAGACGCTTTTCTAACTCTTTCATATAATACATCAAGAATTTTATTTGACGGTCTATTTTTGATAAGACTATCTAAGTAATCTGTTCTGTTTCCTGACTTATCAAAACATAGATCATGCAGTTTTACAAAGATAGAAGAAATATTCATTCCTACTCCACGTAATATCCTAGATAAATCTTTCGGAGTAAAAAGTTCTTCCTCAGCTAAGAAATGATCTAAATAATTATATTTACTAAAACTTAATGTATGAAAATTCCTTAAAACAGAAGTGGCGTTATTTCCTGCCATAGATAATGTATTGGATAAATCATCCGATCTAAAACCTGCATTATAGAAATCATCTAAAAGCTGTGTTTTGTTTCCCGTCTCGTCAAAACAAACATCATGAAAATCTTTTAAAACAGGACAAACATTAGCTCTTGTTCCATGCAATATATCAGATAAATTACTCAGCGTAAAACCCTCTTTCTCATTTAAAAAATGATTTAAATATATTTTTGTTTCTCCTGTAAAACAAAAATCATGAAATTCCTTTAAACTATCTACTGCTCCACTCAATATATTGCTCAAATCACCCGGTCTAAAACCTGCGTTATAGAAATCATCTAAAAGTCCTGTTCTTTTTCCTTCGTGATCAAAACACACACTGTGCAATCTCTTTAAAATAGAGGAAGCACGAACTCCTGCTCCACATAATATGCAGGACAAGTTACTTGGCTCAAAATCTGCATTATAGAAATCATCTAAAAGTACTGTTCTTTCTCCTTTGTTGTTAAAGCAAACACTATGCAATTTTTCAAAAGCATCTTTAACATTAGCTCCTGCCCCATTTAAAATACTGGATAAATTATGTATCGTAAAACTTTTTTCCTCATTATTTTTCTTAATAAAGTGCTTTAAATGCTGTTTTTTCTTTCCTTCTACATCAAACCAAAGAGTATATAAGTCTTTAAAAGCTTTTGCAGCATTAGCAGCTGCTCCATGCAAAATACTGGATATATTAGTTAGGTTTATTCCTTCCTTCTCTAGAGTTTTTAAATATTGTGTCTTTTCTCCTTCTGCATCAAACCAAAGGTCGTACAAGTCTTTAAAGGCTTTTGCAGCATTAGCTGCTGCTCTACCCAAAATGCTGGACATCCTACCTAGATTTACTCCTTCCTCCTCAAGAGCTTTTAAATATTGTGTTTTATTTCCTTTTACATCAAACCAAAGATCATATAACTCTTTAAAAACATTTGCAGCATTAGTTCCTGCTCCACTCAAAATACTGGACATATGAGGTAGATTTACTCCTTCCTTTTTTAGAGTTTTTAAGTATTGTGTTTTATTTCCTTTCGTATCAAACCACAGATCATATAAATCTTTAAAAGCTTTCGCAGCCTTATTTCCTGCTCCATTCAAAATACTGGACATATTAGGTAGATTTACTCCTTCATCTTCTAGAGTTTTTAAGTATTGTGTTTTATTTCCTTTCGTATCAAACCACAGATCATATAAGTCTTTAAAAGCTTTCGCAGCATTACTTCCTGCTCCATTCAAAACACTGGACATCCTAGCTAGATTTACTCCTTCCTCCTCTAGAGCTTTTAAATAGTGTGTTTTATTTCCTTTTACATCAAACCAAAGATTGTATAAGTCTTTAAAAGCTTTTGCAGCATTATTTCCTGCTCCATTCAAAACACTGGACATCCTAGCTAGATTTACTCCTTCATCTTCTAGAGATTTTAAATATTGTGTTTTATTTCCTTTTACATCAAACCAAAGATCATATAACTCTTTAAAAGCTTGCACAGCATTATTTCCTGCTCTATTCAAAATGCTGGACATATTAGGTAGATTTATTCCTTTTCCTTTCAGAACTTTTAGATATTCTTTTCCTTCTCCTTTGATTAAAAAATCTAAGAACTGATTAAATGCAGGTGTCCCTTCTCTACCAACCACACTTCTAGCAAATTTTATTTCTCCATTAATGTTTTTATCTTGAATTTCCGGATAACTAGATCTATTACTTTTTATATCTCCCAAAAGCTTTTCCATTATTCCTTTTGTAATATGGCCAAATTCATGAGATTCTGACCAACGTAAGGCTATTTCATGTAATTCTTCGTAATTATACGGAACTTTATTAGACTTATTTTCTATTTCATTTTTTATAGCGTTGTTCAGTTGTTCTCTATTAGGCTGATTAACTGCAAATATTAGTTTATCTAAAAATTTCTCTTTTATTTCTTTTTCATTCTCATCAGAGAGTCTTTCTTCTTCTTTTTCCCTTTGGAAAGAAGGCGGAAGCTTTAATAGACTTGAAAGTTTGGTTGTTTCTTCCTGTGAAAATTGATAAAGGCCATTTTTATCTATACACGAACAATTTCTTAAAATTTTATACTTCTTCTTTTGAATATCTATACTATCAAATTTTAAAGGATGCAAATCCTTGGATTGCCCTTTTTTTAATCTATTTTCTTCTGTAAGATCTAGACATGTATTAGTATAGATAATAAAATATTCTATATTCTTATCCTTTTCTTAATTCTTCAATGAAAAGAGTAAAATGCTTATTAATAGAAAACTTACTCTTCCTTTCCTGTGTTCTGGAGGGAAATAACTGACTATTACCAATAACTCTATCTGCATTATGAGCCTTTACGTAAGTAATTCTATCTTTACGGTTAATAATAATATGATTAGGCGTATCAAGGCTTTTCCCTTCAGAGTTTATGAAAAACATATTCTTATGCAAAAACATGTCATGCAAGAAGGACATTAATAAATTGAATTCATATATAATGCCAGGTCCAAGTTTTTCTGGAGCTGTTAAATCGCATAATATTCTTTCTTGTAATGCTATATAGTTGTCTTGAACTTTACTATTTTTTATTTCACTTTTAACAATGCTGTTCAGTTCTTCTCTATTAGGCTGATTAACTGCAAATACTAATTTATCTAAAAAATTTTCTTTTACCTTTTCCTGAGAAATGTTTCTTTCTTCTATTACTTTTTGTGCAGCAGATGAAAATTCTAGTCGCTTGAAAAGTTCTTCTCTTGTTGTTTCCTCTTGCGAAAATTGATAAAGGACACGTCCTTCCTCATTATAATTTGTAAACAAAAAGTCTTTTAATATACCACATTTTTCCATATTTATGGCATCGAATTTAAAAGGATAAAAACTCCAGGATCGCCCTTGTTTCAATTTCTTCCTTTGTAAGATCCAAGCCTAAATTAGTATAAATAACAAGATATTTTATATTATTTGGTTTAGAGATTAGATGTTTAACAAAACTATCGAAGTAATCATTAATAAAAAAACTTCGTGTTTCTTTCTCTTTAGTAAATAACCTAGCATAACCAATATCATTATCTACATAATATTTGTCTACATTTTCAATTTGTATATGAATAGACTTCTTTTTATTACAAATGACAATATTTTTAAATTTATCAATTTCAGAACCTTCAAATGCTAATGATAATAAAGGGTATTTATATTCATACGTAGACCTTCTAAGTAAACACAGCACCGACAAGTCTAATTGATACATAAGTTCAATCAAATGATGAGGAATGCATCGACTAGTTTGATAAGCATTGCGCAATTCATCATGTGCTGGTTCATCTTGTAAATCGCTTGGACATTCTGAACCTTCATTGACATTGACATCCATGCGCACCCCTTTTGGTGCATTATTACCTTTGTCTGTAACAGAACGCCCACGTCTCTTACTCAGTTTGTGATTTTCTTTACCTGGAATCCCTGAATGACCACTTTGTGTTTGTGAGGAATCTTCAGTATTTTTTAATGGTGTGAAAGTTTTTTTACTTAACATATTAAAGTCTCTTGTTGTTTTCATTATGCATAATAGTCGGAAAAATTAGAAAAGCAGGTTATTTTTTATGACTAATAAAATTATTTTCATTAGTATATATTTTTATACTTTTTGTCATAAAATTAATGATATAGTTTTACAAAGAAGTGCGAGAGCGTTTTTGTTTTGGATTCTGTTGGTCTACAGCTTGTTCTGTGCGAACTTTTCTGTATAATAATTTTGCAGATAGACATTACTTGGCATGTAAATATTGTCTAGAAGATAAGATTCCTGGATTATTTGGACAAGTATTTATGAGATTTGAGAGAAGTGCCTCTGTGATGATGATCTGAGAAGAGAATTATTGGAAAATATTGAGGAAAGTAGCCCTATACAAACTTTTCTTATTGATAAGCAGATTGGACAACCAAACGAATATAAATCATTAGAAGGCTTGCAAAAATCTATACAGATAACTTCTAATAAAAACTGGAACAATGATTATTTTTTTTTTGGGGGGGCTCTGAATGACGAGGTACCCAATATCTAGTCCCCATAGTCAGGTTATTCCTCTTAGTATGTTATATTCCAACTGCTGTGAGTAATCTTCAGGTATGTCCAACGTTGCTCCACAAAGACACCGCTGAGGGCCAAAGCCACGTGCAAAAGTTTCTGCTATGCTTGCGTCAATTCTTTATTTCTTATGAAATGCTGCATCGTTTTTAAAATGTAAATTGTGATTTGTTGGTTGAAGACCTTACGGTCCACAAGTAACGAGGTTATTCCTCAAATTTCAATTACTGTTAATTACTATGGATTTCAATCTATGAACGCAACGTCTTCACCAACCGCGATTGCGTGGCGTTACCTATGTTAATCCGCGACTTTTTTATATTTAACCTCTACTTCAAACAATATTCCACTTTTCACGCACTCCCCGCCTTTCCAGCAATTTTAGTTATACTTTTGTCATTTTTAGAGAGATCTCTATGATTCAATAAAAGTTAATAACTTTTCGCTGGTGCATTTTCTCCACCTTCGTTTGTATGCTGATTTTTGCATTTACTCCAATTCGCGAATGTCAAATAAACAAACAGCTGCTTTTTTCACATTTCTTCTTTTCACTGGCTTTGCCTGTAGTGTTGTACAACGTGAAATTAAAAGTGACAAAGCGTTGTAATTAAAAAAATATATACATATCGTTGCCTTAATATAGAAAGGCCCTATCTCACATCGTCGCTGAAATGCACAAAGCCGTAACTAACTAAAATCTTTTATTGCATAAAACGATGTGAGGCCACATAATTCGATCAAATGCATCATAATCAATTAAAACGTAAATTTTCGATTTTTAGTTAGTTACGACTTTTTGTAAATCAGCGACGATGTCAGATAGGGCCTTTCTATATTAAGGCAACGATATACAGGATGGGATTTTAAGTCTTCGGGCGTGTGTGAATCGGTAGCAAAGTTCTATGGGGAAAGCTGTTGAATAATATTTTTACTATGGTGAGACAGTTTTGTCAATCTGCTGTGTGAAATGAAATCTTTTTTGACAGCAGTAAATTTTTCATAACCGCAGATTTATGCGCAATAAACTATTACAAATTGAGTGAAATTAATATTTTAAGAAAACATCTACCATCATTGATTGCAGTTCATCAACTTAAGCTTTTATTTTACGAAAAATTACACACAGCAGCAATCTTTGCAATTGTCAAAATTTTCTATGCATTTGTCAAAAATTTCACTAGCCCTATGGGCTACTGAAATTTTATTCACCTCAAACTTGTCAAAAATTTACTTGCCGCGAACTTTGTTACCGATTCACACACGCTCTTCAATGACAAATATGCTCTTAATTGTTGACATAAAAGTACCAAAAAGTGTAATCAGACTTGGCTTTGCAAGTAATTTCGTTAATCGAACTTAAGAATTCCGAAAAGTGATTGCAGCAGGAACAGTGTTTAAGATGGAACTCTGGCACTTTGGGAAATTTCTCTCCCTTCTCTCCAAAATTAAAACTGCATTTTACAACAATAAATATGTAAACAAAAAAGTTTTTCTTGTTTGGATCATAGTGGAACTTTTGGGGCACATGCGCATTTATTTTTCCTTTGTGTTGTTATTGCTTCTGCTTTCCACTGTTCATTCTTCCCCAATTAAACAAAGCGGGTCCATTCTCTCCACCGTGGAGTCCATTGTGATTTGTGTGAGAGGCGCACATTCACCGAAAAAGCGCACTTCGTGACTGAAGCCAAGTAAGGAAGCTGCAAGGTAAGCTGGTGTACAAACTTTTTCAGTTTTTGCAATCTACTTAATAGATTTAATGTAAATTTTCAGTATGTTGAATTATTTTAAAGACGTAATGGCCCCCACAACGCGCAGCTCAAAAGCTGAAGCAGACAATAAAGATGGCGGTATTTGTACTAAAGTGGGGCTTAGTGAAAATTTTTCAGAAAATTCTCTGCCACCTCCACAAATGAAGGGCTACAAAATCACAGACAACGAACGTACAAAAAAATACGGCATTGGCGCAAATTCATTACAAATGCTCAAAGAGAAGGCGATATTAAAGTTTCCTGTAAGTATTTTTTCGCTAAATTTGTATCATCCAAAAATACATGGCTTTAGTTGATAGTTCATTAGAAATTACGTCGCAAAATTTTCCTTTTGCAAGCATTGATTGCTTCTGGAAACTATCGGCCACCCACGCCACCCACAATGAACCAATTCTCATTGTCACGGCCAGTAGCAAAATATCAATGATACACTCCCTGAGAGCTCTCGACTTTGTAACACCAAAATAAGCATATAGAGACCACATTTTGTAAATGAAATGGAAATAAAATTTTAAATTGACTTCAATTAAATTTTCCTATCCTATCCCAAATGTCCACCTCTACAACTAAGTACCATATTTAGCACAATCAAAATTACTTTCCATTTTCGATTGTCGTATTCAATGTCAAGGAATGGTGCGCATGACCCGCTACCGGGCGCCAAAAAAAGACTCAAAACAAATACAAAACTGTGCCAACCTGTTGCTCCATACTTGCATATTGTGGGGGGCTACGATGAAGGTCGTATCCTGCAAGCAAACACTCATTCATAGCATACACGTGCGTGTCCTTGAGCGTGAGCAGTTGATTTCCAAAACCTTTCAATTGCAACACTACTGTGTTTGTTAAGGGGTCACACGGCAACTCTGATATTGTTGGTCTCCGTTGAAGGCCAATAAACTTGGTTATTTTGGTTTACACACTCGATGCTGCTAATAAACTTGCGACCTTGCGTGCAATGTGCTGGGTAGTGTTGTTAGCATTGCAATGACACATAGGTGCCATCCCGGGTCAGGGTCTTATCTGCAACGAAGCGTAGGTCATGTCCTTCAATTGCTCACTTGATTCTTTTAAAAGGCCTTGACGTTAGTGTGGCTAACCTTCTACATATTTTCCCTTCAACAGATCAAAGACTTAAAACTGTATTTGTCAACTGATGGCTTTGAAATATCTGATGATGATTACTTTCAAACGTTGGCGGCACAAACATTATTTATTGTTGCTGGACCGGATGAGATTATAACGACAGGTGAGTAAAGGATTTAATTCCCAATATACATGAATTTAAAAACCCTACTCTTTTCCCAGATGCTGACTTTGAATTTGAAAAGCTGCGCAAAAATTCTCCTTTACTCCGTGTTGCCGACATCATTTATGAATTTATCGAACATAACCCTGAACAGTTTCGTAAAATGATTACAGATTATGAAAATCGTAAGATTTGTCACAAGCAAGCGCTCGACAGAAATCAACAAGCGTATGATAACAAAACTCAATTTAGTTTGCGCACCGAACATAGCGAATGGTTCGAGGGGCAAGAAGAACGCTGTCATTCAAAGGAAGAGGCCATGGCACGTCGCGCACAAGATCGCATGCGTAGTTACTATTATAAAACTAAGGAAGAGCTTACACGCAATAAACTCTATCGCCAAAATCTTAAAGCCCGCCATGTAATCGACGCTGTATTGGAACAATTTCGCTATCTGCTCATCGGTTGCGATTACTTCTCGACGCTGTTTAATCGAAAGTGTCCGAAAAAGCATTCAATTGTGCAACAGCATCTCGACGACGAAACTGATGCCAGCGCAATGCTTCCAAACAAACGGCTACGACAAGTTATCAAAGAGTATACAGCACGCCATCAAATATTGGACGAGTGGTCTGTGTCACTGTGCACCGAACTGGGTGATTTCTATTGTCAGGGCAGCTATTCTGATAACGGAAACTGCTGTGCTTTGAAACACACTATTAATCCTTATGCGTCGCGAGAAAATTTGATACTTTTCCAAGTGTGGAATTTGGATCATCAAATTGAACTTTCACGTTCCATATTGCCAGCATTAATTGATAATGTACGCATGCTAGTGGAGCAACCACAAAAGAAATGCACCTTACATAATAAACGCGTCATTGACATTTCAGTGTTGGAATATTTCTTGGAAATATTTTCGCTGAAAAATTTGAAACTCGTGCACATTGTGTGTCATGAAAAAACGCAACGTGCAAACAAATCAAATGGACGTTTAGTGTGCGCACAATGTCATGAATACAAAATCGTACAGGAGTTGATGGGTGTGCGTGAAAATGAAGAGGATGTGGATGTAGCAAGTTAAAGATAATTTTTGATACAATGAGCTCGTGTTGAAAGGTAGGCTCATTTGAAATTATAAATAATGGTAATGTGCAATTGTTTAGGTAAACAGAAGAATAGTAGCTAAAAATATTTAAATCGCGTTTCCTATGCAAGTTAAGAAGATATAACGTTACTATGGCCTTTTAGGGTAAACTCTTCCAGTTTTTTTTTTTTTTTTTTTTACAAACCCTAAAATTATACTAGTTTAAGCTAAGCATTAAGATATACATATACTAAGAAGAAATAAGATCAATGGTTTAGTCAAAGCTTCTACTCTTCTCACAGTCCTACACACGCTCACACTTTATTCTTCGAATCACAATATTGCTATCAAAATATCTACTTAACTTATAAAAACCACCTAAAATGATATTGAAAATTCTCTTAAACAACTGAATAATATGCTATGCAGACTTCTCTTAAAGCAGCCTCTTCAAAGTGATTTAATTATTATAGTAGTTTCATATTCATCTAAATTTTCTCCCTCTGGCCGTCGCACTGCTGCTAGACGAATTCGTAAATTTTACATGATACCCATCTCCTCAATTTCAATGAGAGATAATAATGCTGACAACTTCATAAATACCTAAAATAAATCCGAGGGTTAAAGGAGCTAATACTAAACAAAAAGTTTAAGGTTCAAAGTAAACTGTAATAACAATACAAAATAGCAATATACTTAATACATATACATATTTATATATACATACATATTTCTATACTGCTTAGTACAATATTCATATGTACAAGTACATTTAAATAAAATATTAAACAACTGTTGATAAACAGTGCACGGTTAATCAAAAAATACAAATAGATAATAAATGTATAATTGGTTCAAATGCTTTTAAAAGAAGACAACCTTAGTAAATACTTTAAACATTCCGGACCAAATTGCAAACTTTCAGCAATGGTCTATGCAATTGCATGCAAAGATGACGAATAAAATGTAAAAAGTGTATTTAAATGAATTTTACTATACATACTCATTTAAATATACATGTATATACATATGTATGTATGTATATGTATACAATACACTAAAATGTAGTTTGTTGCCTAATATAACAAATTAACGCGTAAAACGTGCTGATTGTAGTTTTTGTAGGCATTTGTAGAACAAATTTTAAGCATTGTTACTAAGGCATATGAAGATGCTATATACTATACATACATTGCTTGTTGTTATATTTTACATACATTTAGTAAGTAGTGGAATATTATTCAGTAGTTCTATGCTTGTTGACTTATGTAGTTAAAGCAGTTGCATTGAAAATGTTAACTTTATAGTGCTGCTGTCAATAATAAGCTTTTTAGGCAACTTGAACAATTTTCAAATATCAAAGTTATTGTATTAAAAACAAACATACATACATACTATCGTATTATACGAACTGGTCTTGATCAAGTTACATATTTTTGGAAGAACTTAAAAAAAAAATTAACCTAGTAAGTATGATGGATAAGCAGCATACATATACAAGTAGTACTCGTACAAATTTATGCACACATTTTTCGTTTTCTTCTGACTCGCGCAACTGGATAGTCGTAGTCTTCTTTCATTTTCGCTCTGGTATGTCCTTACTGGCACCAGTAGTGGTATGGTTCTAGTAGTTTATGGGTAGCGTATTACCAGCCATATTAACCTAACTTAACTTTAGTCCTAACTGTTTGAAATTTTCGTAGAAAATTATAATATTTTGTCATACCCAAAATTCGCGTTCAGAAAGAAAAAATATTGATTTTATTTTCAAACAAACATCAAGTTCTCTGAAAAAGGACACAAGTATCACAAATATGGGGCTTGGAGTACCCATTTTTTTTTTTATATTTTCTCTCCTTTCTGTAAATCCGAAAAAAAGCTCGTCAAGAGACTAACTTCCCTAGTTTACCTACCGTAAGGTAATGATCTGATACCTTAAGAATCAGCACACAATACAATTTTTTTCGGAAATCTTTGGCCTTCTTGGGTAATTTTTACATTACCTTGATTTGATCAATTGAAAAGATTTCTGGACAATTTGGTGGAGTTGCTTCGCGATGACACAAAGTTGCGTTATACCCCACCCTCCTGGGTATTTTACTGTTATTGCAAGAAACTAGGTCGGCTCAAAAGAAGTGGAAATTGGGGAGACTTAAGATTTTCCTCGCCAATTCCTTAATTACATACATATGTATATATTGCCGAAGATGGGCATGATAAATGGCGCAAATGACTTACAAAATCTTGCGTCTGTGTATGAACCCTGCTTCGAGAATCCGTTCTTTTTAATTTAGAGTTTTCGCTTTCTTCTCGTGCTGTGGAATATTGTGTTTTTTGTAAAAAATATTAGAATGTCGATGTACGGCCCACCTGTAACTGATACCTGATATCGCCAGCTTTCTACATTTCAGATAAAATAACATTAATAGTAGTGAGCATACTTAAAAAATTGTGTATATAAAAACTTTATTCTTAAATACCCTAGGCATTACCCTTAACCTTTAATAACTATTAACCTAGCCTTGTTATCCTCCACACGTTTACCTCTTTGACGTATGGCCACTTTAATAAATTCAAATAAATATAAAAGTTTTAATTTTAGTTATATGAGCTTTGTATATTTTTACACAAAATAACTGGTTTCGTTCAAACAAAACCAAACACTTCCACTAATGAACGGTTTTTAATCTGGTTTCAATGACTTGCGCTATTTATCGAAGTATGTACATAGAAAGATGTGAAAAGTGCCAAATATTTATCAAAATCAAGTGCACGTTCTACAACCCTCCAATGGCGAATTTCCAATGGGCATTAAATGGCGAAAGTGACCTTTTCAATGGCAAGTGGAAATATAGTACTTAAAATATTTTATTTTAAACATAATGACAGGGAGTGTTTTAAATGCTCCAGTGGAAATCCGACATAACCAAAATTTTTAAATTTTATGAAAACATCGGTTAATATCCACAGTATTGGACATATCTATAGCACCCCCATTTCAAAGTGATATTGTTTGGCACTCATGTTTATTTATTTATTTTTAGGATTTTTCAATTAAAACACATTCATCGTGGCTAGAATTTTTTCGAGCACACAGTTTTATAGCTCATTCAATTTTAGTCTGTATGTCTTTGTATGGAAGAAACCCGCAACACCTTCGGCGAAAAAAAATCTAAAAAATCAACGGTAATTTTTAGCCACTTGAAACTTGCACATTATTAGAGTAAAATTGAATGAGTGATAAAAATGCGTTCTCGAAAAAATTCTAAAACTTCTGAGAAAAGTTTTACTTTGGGTGAAAATTTGTAGCATTTTTTTTGTAGTCTTTTAACAACTTTTAAACTAGGGTTTATATGAGTTTTGTTAGAGAATGAACTGTATTTTAATTGAAAAATCCTAAAAAAAAAAATAAATAAACATGAGTGGCAAACAATATCACTTTGAAATGGGGTGCTATTCTATTCGCATGCACGTTTAAGTTATAAAATTTGGACAGAAAAAAAAATACTCGTCCCTCAATCTAAGGAAACGATTAAGAATTTTAATTAAAACTACTTTAGCTCTTTAAATGCTCCTTAAGCTTAATATTTTTATGTTAAGTAAGAATAACTGCTTCGCTTAAATTTTAAATCTTATTATAAGCAACAACTTATAATTAAACATATGAATATAGAAAATGTAAACTAAAGTTAACAATAAAACTTCAAAATAAAATATGTGAACTTTTTAGTTCGAAAATGGCTGTTTTCTTGATATTTGGTAACACCAAACTCACAATAACTAAAATAGATTGGAAATGCTTCATGAAAAGATATATTGTCAAAAATACCATTTTATGAAGCTTTTATAATTTATTTTATTTTTTATGAAAACGCCATATGTGTTTAACTAATTACATGATTTCAANAAAAGCACTACTAGGCAAAACACTTTTAACATTAGGCAGAGTAAAGCCAATTCGCACGTAAAAATTAGGAGGAACAAAGTAGCGGAAAACAAAATTTAGCTATTATTAAAAAGTTAATTGATTTCTATTTGTATGAGAGAAAACTTCACCTTTTTTATTCGATTAACATTTTTTATAATTTTTACTTTAATCTTGCACGTAATAGCTCAAATAAAATTTGTATTTTATGTCAAAAAACTCAAATGAAAAAGCTATTCACAGTTCAGATAAAAAACAATGCAGTTGAACATATGTATGTATGTACATAAATATTTTATTAGAATTGTTAAAAAATAGAATTATAAGAGAAAAAAATTAGGCGCTTGAATGAGTTAATCGGTTTTAGAAGGAAAACGTTTAAAAAAACATTAAGAAAACGAACGAATGCGGTTATATCAAATAAAAGTATAATACAGTGTTTATTTTTAATTAAAAATATTTTCACATTTGCAAAGAAAAAAACTTCATTCGTTGCGTCGGCAATTCTTAAATTCTTTCCTCAACTTTTTATTTTTATTTTTTCACACTCATTAGCCAAAGGTGGAGTTATTCTCTCCGTACAACAACAACAAAGAGTTCAGTTTATAACACTTGGGCGGCTATTTAGCGTTACAAAAAGCTAAGGGAAAGCCCTCGTTGCAGATAAAATATTTGCGATAAATTAAGTTTGCAGAGCATGTTGTTTAGAAATATTTACAAAAAGACTACGAACACCTTATTCTTACATGTAATGCCAATTTTTTCACATCAATTGTTAAAAACACTGTGTTAGCCAAAGAGTAACAATTCAATATTATACAAACCTTTAATTGCAAATTAAAATTTTAACAATTTTTTTTACGAGTTGTTAATTAGAATTAGTAAAAATTTGAAGATAATAGAGGGGTAATACAAATAATTTAATTTGAAGTTAGGGATAATAGAAAAAATCGATTTTTTTTTATAGTATTTCAATGAAGTTTTTTTGAATATTGTTATTTTTAAATGATTTATAATGAAAGTAATTTTCGCATAAAGATAGTTTATCGCAAATATTTTATTGTTTAAAATTGTGTAAACAACCAAAGGAGTTGGAGCAATGCAATTTAGCTAGCAAGCGTGTTTTTTTTTTTTTGGAAGAGACTCCAGACCTTACAAGCCATACAAATATTTGTAACTTGAATTTAGAAAAGAATAACTCAAAGCTGAGTCTATTTAAAGAAGAAGGAAACGAAAATCATTTGGATTGTGTCTGTAGCCCTATCACACCTCGACTTGGAGTTGGCATGAGGAGAAAAGTTGGATTACTAACATCACTTAGGGAGTTCTTCATCAGTCAGAACGTTAATATATTCAGTGAATTCACGAAGCAGGTTATTTTTGGATGGCATACATTTTTTTTTTTTATAATTATCGTTCAATTGAATGCGGTTATCAGACCACAACAACATACTGTTTAGACAGGCGGAAGCGTTGATCCGGATAATTCGGAATTGGCTCGGGAGTTAGCTGCAGTTGAATCGGATTGGGTCCTACAGCAAACTAATCTATGTATGAGCAAGCAATAAAGAAAAATAATTGGCGTCCGCGGTAGCTGAATGATAAAAAGATATGTTTTTGTTTAATTTTTTGTATTTTTTTATTTATTTATTTTTTTTGATATTACTTCACTTAATAATTTCCAGTTAATTTAATTTTTTAGGGATTAATTTGGTTAGCAACTACATATAATTACAAAATAATAATTAAAGAAGCTATATAAAAAAAAATGTAAAAAAAAACTTTGTTAACCGTGGAATTCGAACCCTTCATCCGCAATACTCTCGTCTGTCAGGGTAACATTTTTGACCAGATTAACTGCGTGATTAATCCGGATTATCGTTGCCGTCTGTCTATGCTATACCTCAACAGGTAGTAGTTTCGGTTATGAGGTCGGAGCGGAGTTTTACTCTGGGACAGGCGATAAAATTCCGCATTTATTTTTGAGATTTTTTTTGTTGAAGATGTTTCGCAATTTTTCCATACTATTTCAAACTTGCACTTTAGTAAACTAAAGTTTATTGGGCCACTGCATACTCAAAAAAAAAAAAATATATATAAAAGCTGATAAAAAATTTTAGAATTGCCACTAAAGTTTATTGCATTTTACTAAGTTTTGCACAAAGTTATATCTATGTTTTTTGTTGTAGTAGTAACCATATTTGTACAAAAAAACTAGCGCAAAGCGAAATAAAAATCATTACATATATTGTGAAAAATTCTCTGAGAAAATAATTTTGGCCGTGAGTGTATGTTTTGAAAATGGAGTTCCTAGAAAAAAAATTTCGTCGTACACCAGTATTATAATTGGCTTACTCGTTTACTTTCCGAAGTTACTATTGACTGCTTAAAAAGTATGATAGTGGAAGAAAAGTATTGTGATCAGTTTGAACGGGAACAAAAAGAGAACAAAAGGTTCGGGAACGTTTCCGTGAATAACAAAATGCGAACAAAACTCTCGGGAACATTCTCAAGAGGAACAGAATGTGAATGAAACTTTCGGAAGCGTTTCCAATAAGAACGAAAGAATCGAGAACGGCTTCAAGGAGAATGAAATAAGACCAAACGCGTGGGTAACGTTCTGCTAGAGGTCAAAACGCGAATAAAAGTTTTGGGAGCTTAACGTTAGGAATGAGAGGGGCGATTGTTACTTCTAAGCTAGAGCAGCGCCATTTTAACTTTCAGATCGTTTATTATTAGGGTAAACTGTCCATTTGTGGAACAGTTTTTCATTTTCTGTGTCTTTCGTTGGCTTTATTTGCACAATTATCTATCAGTTTTTGTTGATTCATTTTAATACATATTCAAACATTTCGAACTAATGGAACGCTGTAAGAAAAATTTTGTTTTCGCTTCCATTCTTCGCAAATAGTGCGGAGAACATTTATTCCCATTTTGTTCTCTGTCAGAAAGTTCCTGAGACTTCAGCTCCCAAATTGTTCGTCGAGAGAAAGTTACTTAGACTTTTGATCTCATTTTGTTCTCTTAGAAATGTTTGCTCAAGTATTTTTGGCATTTTGTTCTCTTTGGGATGCTCCAAAGGGTTTTGTTCTCATACATATATCTCACATTGAGAACGTCCTCAACAGTTTTATTCTCATTTCGGTTTTGGTTTTGAAACGTTCTGGAGAACAAAACTACGAGAACGACATTTAATTTCGATCATACCTTTTGTCCTCGGGCCCTGTTTTAAACCTGCAGAAGTCAAACAAGCCAAAAATTTCGATTAGATCCGAGTTCGATGTCCACTGTACCAATGAAATATTAANACCTTTTGTCCTCGGGCCCTGTTTTAAGCCTGCAGAAGTCAAACAAGCCAAAAATTTCGATTAGATCCGAGTTCGATGTCCACTGTACCAATGAAATATTAATAGTGACCACGAAAGATCAACAACAACATCAATAATGGTCTTCGCTCCCGTTAAAAATTAACAAAACTCTTAATTATCTATCATAAAAATACTTCTCTTAAAGGCCGCCTGTAGATCTGATGATAATAATAAGAAACTTTGAAATGTGTTGCCAACATAGAAAACGAGTAGATATTTTATAATACTCTTAGCGATTTGATAATGATAACAACTTTCGGATGTCTTCCATAAACTGCTCGTAAAAACACATGCCGTCCTAATTTAAATTTTGAGGAGGTGTTTATATCCGATCTTTAAGCCTGAGTCTTTCCTATCTAGAATTGGCCTTCGGCTTTCTTAGTTATCCGAGATCAAATTCTATAACTCATAACCGGTTTGTAGGGCATCAAAAAAAAAAAAAAAACCCGCGAAATTTTTTCTAATGTTCAGGTATGGAATCTCTTACGAAAACATTTCATTAGTACATTTTGGGGGGAAAAGCCAGCTTTTACGCAAATTAACGAAAACGAAACAATAAATTTTTAAAGAAACATACTTTTTTTTTTTTTTTTTAGGTACCTTAGGATTTTGAATGAGCTTGACAAAATACTTTGTTCGTTGATGAAGAGATTTATTGGATTAACGTTTTATGATAAATTTTCGCAATTTACAAAAGTTTGTCTCATTTGTTTGTACGCATTTTTCGTTTGTGTGTCTGATTGCGATTGATCTAGTGCAATAACGCTACACTTGGCTGAGAGGTGGTTGATTGATTGCTTGGTTGATTGGTCGATTCAGCGATTTTAGTTTTGCTGTACATATTTACATACAAATTGGTCATGATTTATGTATGTATGTATGTATGTATGTATGTATGTATGTATGCACTGAGGTAACGANTTTTTGCTGTACATATTTACATACAAATTGGTCATGATTTATGTATGTATGTATGTATGTATGTATGTATGTATGCACTGAGGTAACGAACGAACGAACGAACGAATGAACGATTTTTCTTTGTATAACTTTCGGCGTAATGACTGTGCTTTTCAAACAGATTTTTTTTTTCGAAATTTTGCGTATTTTAAAATTTTTATGTTGGTTTTCCTTTATTTATGCTTATTTTTTACACGATTGTGATTGTTTAGCAGAAATGAGTTTTCTTTTATGTGCATGATTTATTTGCGTGTTGTTGGGTTATTTATAGAAAATGAATGATTCGTCAAAATTCAAAATCTGCCAGGAGCTGCGTACGCTTTTTCTCACAAAAATAAAAAAATGTTTTTAATCAAATGAATCAAAAATTGTATGCTTTGAATTTAAGATTATTTATAGTATTTACAAAATATTAACAGCATCTCATACTTTCACTTTTCTATGTAATTTTAGATTAAATTTTATTAACTGAGTACAAAAAGGCAGTGTTGGGTTGTTGACCTGTGCGAGTTGGTGCTACCCACCCAGTTAAAAAAGTTCTCTGAAATTTCTTCCATTCGATAATGCGGCTGTTTGTCGCCTACAGCTCGGCTGTCGCGACAAACCACATTTATGGTTTGGTTTTTGGTGCCATGCACCGCAGGATTTTTTTTATCTTTTCATAATTTGGATTTCAAAATTTTAATTTGCATCACCGTTACGTTTTCTTAAAGTTAAGCCCTTAATTCCTATTTTAAATATTTAGTTCTCCCCCATTTTCGGCGTCACTCATCCTTACGTGCTGCCAACCCCTCACCCTGCCCGTTGCTAGACTTTGCGCCAACGCGTCACTGAGCCCTCGCGTGACTGCGACACGCAATCCGGACTTTTGCTATTTGATGTAAAGATCTCAGGCGATTCGGTTACACGCGCCAAATCGCGGTTTATCGTTTTCGAACTGAGTACGCGTGGACAACGCACCGACCAGGGACTGCGTCGCGACGTATCTTGCAAAGCGCGATACGCTTTCGGTGGTGGCAACGAATCGGGCTTGCCATTCGCTTTCGACCATGTATCATAGTAGTCGGCATAGCTTTTGTCCGCTTTCAGCTCGCTTGGCGTGGGCGCCGGTGTGGTCTCCACCGNCGCGCGATACGCTTTCGGTGGTGGCAACGAATCGGGCTTGCCATTCGCTTTCGACCATGTATCATAGTAGTCGGCATAGCCTTTGTCCGCTTTCAGCTCGCTTGGCGTGGGCGCCGGTGTGGTCTCCACCGATGTATTTTCCAGCGAATCGAGCTCTTCTTCTAGCACTCGCTTGGCAGCTGCCTGCAGCTTCTCCATAGGCATTTGACGCAAATGACTGCTGTCGCGCTTCAACAGCAAACTCTGTACCAATTCATTGACTAGCTTGTCGCTTACGGCGCGACTGCTGGACGGCTGACCCATGATAGGTGAGGCGGGACTGTTGGGCGTCGATGGATTGTCGGCGTCTATGCTTGTGTTCTTACGCAAAGGCAACGACAGACGTTCACGTCGTTGCGACATGGTTTCAGCGTCGGAGAGCGCGTTTGGGTTTTGTCGACGTGTGATGGACACATTGTGTACAATCTTACGTCGGCTGGGCTTGAATTGGAACTCATCGGCGAGCTCTTTGCTGAGCTTGTCATCATCGAGTGGGTCGTTCTCGTCCTGCAGCAATTTGAAGAGTCTGGAATGTGTGGCGGCACGCTGGTAGCTGCTCATTTTACGCAACTCGGGGAAGCTTTCCGACTCTGTGTCGGTTTCTGAAAGTGGTTTGTTCATGTCGGTAACACCGGAGTCATCTTCTTCCATTTCGGATTCAGAGCGCTGTGAACTGTTACGTGAAAGTGAGCCTTTGCGTGTATAACTCTCGACAGAGAGTGAGTGAATTTTACTATCGGAATTTTTCGATTTTGTTGGTGACTCGACATCACCTGTTTCAAAAGCAGAAATCCTATCGCGCACTGAGATTTTCGACTCCTCTTTCTGGAGTCCTAAGTCGGGTAAGCCATTGGGCAGAAGTTTCTTTCCCACAATCGGTTCAACGTACAATGCAGGTAATTCCTGCTTCCTGTAGTTGGTTGGTGTGGCGCTGCGGTCGGCGCCAACTTCAGTGATTTCTCCAACCGGCGCAGTTGTATCAACGCATACTGTGTTAGGAGGCATTTCGACCCCAACACTGCGACCTCTTACTTTGGTTTGTAAGCTTGGTGCTTTGCAAACGCTTTCGGGCCCAACGCTCTTACCTCTTATTGCACTCTGTGTAACTGTTGTTGTGTAGTAATTATTAACAGCGCCCTCAATGCTCTCTTGCTCACTCAAATTCACATTTTCGCGCTCGATCAACGAGTTTCTATTAGACGTACGTCCTCTTTTTATTTGCCGCTCAGCGCTTGCTTCCTTCTGCTCGTCAATGGAGGTGGTGAAGAAAGCCATTGCCTTGCGGTAATTATTGCGCTTTATATTGGCCTCATCTCCTTCGCCCGCCGCGTCGCTCCGCGGGCTCTCTTTCTTCTCTTCGAGAACATTTTCATCCCCATCGTTATCGTGTATCCATTGCTCTAAGGCTTCGTAGGGTTTATTGAACTCTTTGATCTCTATTGGCGGTTCCCAAACGTTTACTACAGCTGGCTCATGCAAAGAAGCTATCTCCCAAATATCACTCGTGCTCGCATGGACATCTTCTTCATTATCTGAAATCACTTCCTCGTCATGAGGTAGTTTATTGAACTGCGAAGCTAAAGTCTTCTCTTCCTCTACAATTGGATCAATGTACTCGGGCTCTACACCCTTTGCAGCTTCGAGTGCTGCCCAAAGGCCCACATCCACAGTTGGCTCCTCAGGCAAGTTGGCTGTGAAGGGTTTAGGTACCACCTTCGTGTAGGGTGTCTCATCAACTGAATTCTTGCGCTCGCGGCTAGCCCAGAACGATGCAGCTTTGTAAAAGTTCACGTCATCTGTGTTTCGGTTTTTAGCCTCGATTTCTGCCCAGAAATCGATCTCTTCGTCTGTATCAACTTCGCGAGGCTCCTCGGGATAGAGTGTAGGGTCGAAAGTGTTTTTAATTTCCTGTGTACTTTCTTTACTCTTCCCGATATTAGCCCAATAATCGTTATCATCTGCAACTGCTTCTGTTGAATGTACTTCTACCGTAGCGATTGGTTTGACAGATTTTGTGGTGGCTATTGAAGTTTTAGCCTTTTCAACAGATGCCCAAAAGTCTTCTTCCTCCTCCGATTCTTCCGCTTTTTGGCCAGTAAATTCTTCTACTTCTTCCTCAGAGTCGTCCTCAACGCTTTCACTTGTTTCATCATCTTCCAGTTCTTCTTCGGCCGGAGAGTAGACATCAGCTTGTAGCACTGTCGGCAATATTTCGGCTTGCGACGTCATTATTTTTGGTTGATAATGGACCTCATGTATATCCTCGCGTAAGAGTTCGCTTGTCTTAACCTTCTTTTCTGTAGTAGTCGTTTTATTTTCCTTCGATTTTTCTATCTCAGCCCAGAAGTCAACTTCTTCTTTATCATTCTCAGCTTCGGCCTCAGCTTCAGCTGCCTTTTTGGTTTTGGCCTCAGGCACATTTTTGACTTCGGTTCCAGCAGTTTTCACCTTCGCTTCTTCCGCCTCAGCTTCCTCAATTTGTTCATGTGTCTTCCGAGTAGCCGCCGCAAATGTTGCCCAAAAGTTTTCTTTGGCGTCAGCTAGCGCGGCTGGTAGTTTTAATTTTGGTACCGGCTTTGGTAGGTCGTCTTCATTTCCGGCCCAAATGTCCTCCATCTCCACTTCTGCCTCTTCTTCAACCTTAGTGGCGAAAGATTCTTCCTGGTTTACGGTTTCCGTTGTTGGCTGCTGCTTCTCCGTTGATTTCCCCCAATAGCTTGCCGATTGCTCCATCATTTTCTGGGCTTGTAGTTTGGTTGCACGCAACGTAGCAAAGAAATCTAAGTCATCGGACGCCACTACTTGCGCCACGCTTTCCTTAGCCTCTGCCACTTTCTTCTTGCTGATATCGGTTTCTTTTACCTCTTCCATTTTGTCAATTTTAGCGCGTTCGTTTTTAATGTCTGCGATATTGTTGGTCAAATTGTTGTCAATTGTCTCACCCATAAATTTATTGCGCATATTCAATGAAAATGAGACTGAGACATCTTCGCTGCTAGATCCAATAGGATCAGCTTTGGGTTCCGGTGTTGGCAACTCTTCGATGGGATATGCCGCTGAGGTGCGGCGTTTCTCCGGTATACGTTCTACTGAGCCGGAACGTGAGGAGCCACTCAAGCTGATAGTGACGCTCACCTCGCAATCATCATCGTACTCTTGCGCTTCCTCGTCAGAGTCGAGTTTCGGATTTGCGACAATAAACGAGCTACGTCTGCCCTCTGAGGAGATACTATGCCGTTTCTCCTCGATTTGCGACTTGCCCACCTCCACAGTGGCTACATTCTCATCATTGAATGAGAACTTTAGCGGCAGACGCACCGTAACCGAGGTGGAGTCCTCTTCCGTTTCATCATTATTGTCGTTTTCTTCAATCTGCTGCTCAACTGCATCTTCTCGATCGACAGTTGTAGCGTCGCTAACACTAGAGCCTTCACGAAAAATAATCGTATTCGGCTTCTCACTGCTGCGTTCCAGCTCGCTCTCCTCTTCGTAGATAACACTTAAATTATCATAATCCATGTCGTCGTTGTCCTCAATGCATTCATCCAACTCAATCTCCTCGACCGCATCTTCATCATCCTGGTCTTCCTCATCGAATACATCGCTTTCGCCATCAGCTGTGGTGACGTCATCTTCATCGTCTGCTTCAATTGTGTGAGATTTACGATGCTTATAGATCTGTATATTGCTTACAGATTTTATGGCTTGTAGCCCATTAGGCTCAACACATTTAGGCGTCACATCAGAGTCCTCTTCATCGTCGCTGCTACTGCTGTCATAGTCTGAACTCACTTCCGTTTCCGAAGCTAGAGTGACAATTTGTGCAGGCACAGGGGAAGCATTATCCGTTGGTGACTTCTCGCCAAACTCCTTATCACGCTCGCCTGCATAGTTCTTCTCCACATCCTTGCTCATATTCAGGTTTTGCTCGACCACTTTAGACATGTCTTCCAGACGTTGTGTCAATATATCGACTACAGAACCCTCGCGTTCTTCGCGACGCATGGCTTTCGCTTTGAGCGCATTGCCGCTAGTTGCGACCTCTTCGATTTCCACGGCATCATTCCGTTTTGGCACATCACGTTTCTCAACTTTAATGTGGTGCTGTAATATAACCTGAGAGGGCATATCATCGGTGCTGGGCGTGACAATGATGTCGGGCAATACGCTGCTGTCACGGCTGGATGCTGGGCTCGGACTATAGCTGGGTGCAACCGGGTAGGGATAGGGATATGGCGGCGGCACGTAAGCAGGATACGTGGACGCGGCGGCGGATGCATTTGCATCGTAGTGGTGATGATAAGCATTTTGCGAATCGAATTCATTTGTGTTTTGGGCGGGGTGTGTAGGTTGCATATGAGGGACAGAGTGTGGCGGTGGTGGATAGTAAGGATAGTAATAGGGATATGGATGTGGTGGATGGGTGGGATAAGCGGCATTACCACCAGGGAGGTCACTGTTAGTGGGCGGTGGTGGCATATTGTAGCCATATGGCCATGGCGGGTAAGCTTCGCCATTAGTGGTTGGCATGTGTGATGGTGGTGGATACCAGGGATAGGGATATGGATAGCCATAGGGCGGATAAGCATGTTTGGGCATGTAATGAGGGTAGGACTCAGAACTAAGCGATGAAATGGAGGATGAGGATGATGTGGTGCTGGTCGGGTGATGTGTGGTAGGTGTGTTGGTAATTTCGAAAGTGTCTTCATTATTTTCATTCATATTATTTGCTGTAAAATTTTGATTATCAATTTGTTTGCTTTGATTTTCATCAGCTTGCAAAGGATTTTCGTTCGATTCAACACAATCTGAGGCTGCCAACTCGGCTAAAAAATTTGGGTTGGTTTTTCGGAATAAATTGTATGTAAAATGGTATGGAAAGAAATAGAAAGAAGAAATAAAAATAGTTTAATTAACGTAATGAGCGCAAAGTAAATGAGTAAACATTTTAGAGGATTGAATTGTTTTTTTTTTTTAATAACTAATTTACCAATTTTACGCGAATTATGTTATTAATGTTTAGTGTACAACATGTGTATGTGCAGTGACTCAAACAAATGACCAAAAACATATAAATCACCACAGTTCCAAACTTTATACAAAAATTAGAAAAATTCCAAAAATTATCATCAATATTACAACTAGTTATTAGTCTGAATCTTCTGAACACTTTTCGGTAAGCAGCTTAAGAGTCCATATAATTTTAGTTTAATGAATTGTATGTGTCAACCGGCTAAGAAATCGCGCGGATTTTTTAGATTTGTTTTGTGGGAGAGCTTTTGCGTTTTTTTTTTTTTAATTTTGAAAACTTGTTGAGTTTTTACTAAATTTTAGCGTAAAAAACATTACGAATATTTAAAAAAAAAATTAACACGCGGTCATTTTTTTGAATCAGTTTATGTACACTGGCGATCAAAACTGAACGCAGGGTAACGTTTGTAAAATATGTGAAATGTTTTTCAGGCTAACATTTTTTTGCTATATTTAACCAAAAGCTCGCAAGTAAAACTTTCAAATCTTATATGGAATATAGAAAAATTCAATATATGTACAGTCAGTGTGAAATGTAAGTGTGCACCTTGTTCTAATATAATATTCACAATTATTTTCATGATTTTTTTTTTGTCATTAATTATTTATGAAAATATATCTCATTCTATAACTTTAAACATATAAATCAAAGTTTCACACTTTATATAAAGGTCACAAAAATTCAAACAATTTTAATCAAAATTTCAAAATTTTCAATTTTAGTAAAACAAAGGGCAAGTTTCAAGTCGCTAGAAATTCCCGTTGATTTTTTAGAATTTTTTTTGCGGAGGGTGTTCCGCATTTTCTTCCATATAACAATAGATTCTGTGCACTTACATTCGGCACCGACTGTACATACATTAAAATTTTGAATTTTTTAACTTGAATTTCTAAAAAATGTTTGGTTATGCAGTTACATGGCTTATGCAATTCTGTATATTGTTTGAAAGTTTGAGCTATGTGCTTTCAGTTAGCGCAAGAACCATATTTTTATAAAAAAAAAGATTTTAACTTGAAAATCGTTGCAAATATTTAACAAAAATCACCATACACTCAGTTTTGATGGTCAGTGCATGTGTGTGTGTGTATGCGTGTCCATATATACAAAGTTAATGAGTGAACATCTTTAGTGAGTGAACAAAATCTATGAAAATAATGAAAATTCATGATACTAACTAATTTACGAACAAAAAAAAAAACCTTAAACTATCCATTCTGGGGGGAATTTTAAGGACAAAATGCTTGGCGATTACTAAAATTTGCCGAAGTTTGGCTTCATGGAACTGATTGTACTAGATAGTCTTAAAAGGTTAATCATGCAAACATATTACCATGAGATTTACATTTTATATCTTTCTTATCAAATTAGTGTATATATATATATATATATATAGAGTTTTTATGTTTTTAGCCATGTCAAATACATAAATATTTGTAAGTACAGCGAGAAATAAGTAATTCAACCCAAATGGATTAGTTTGAGATTGTTTTCCAAAGGTTGTGAATTAATCATTATTTTCAATGCAAAATAAATACACACGTTCGAAAAAAGCGGTAATCAGGTGCCAGGTTTAAAGTAACAATTTTTTTTCTTTAATTAAATTAATTTAAAATTATTAAAATTAAAGTATAATGCAAAACAAAAAGGTGAAATTTCTCTTTAACTCAAGTAAAATAGTAGTTAAAAAAATTAGAAAAAAATTTATAAATAAAATAATATATGTATAATAATAATTGTTAAGTGGTAGTAAATTAAGTCTTTGTCATGAAGTTTTGTGGATAATCCGGATGTGTGTATGTACCTTTGAATAGATCAAGTATTTTCTTGAATCTTTGCTTGTTTTGTTTTGTTCAAAATTCTATTTAGAAACTTAATGTGTATTGTTTGTATTGGTATGTGTGTGTGCAATACGATGTAATCAACAGATGAAGCTTATTCTATCAAAGGCTGACTACAAATTATCTATAGAAATTCTCCCTCTAGCGTAAACTTTCTACTAATCAACAACTGCTATCCCAACCAGAGTAGGTTTAAAAGCATATAGTTATCAATTCACCACTTTTTCAAATTCTTTAAATCTCTTCTATTTGCCTTCCATTCCCTTTCCCTTCCATTCCTTCCTTCTCTTTCCTTTCCTTCCCTTCCTTCTCTTCCCCTACTTTCCTTCTCTTGCCGGCAGAGGTATGAGATCCCTCTAACGCGCTTGATTACCCTCTCCTTGCCGTCCCATGGCATTCCCGCATTAAATCAACTAGAATATGTAAAGTTCTTACAAAAGCAGACGAAGTAAAATATTGGGGGGTGTTCTGACTGCATCCTTCGACGAGCAAAGCTAAACGACAAGTCAAAAACAAGTGCGGCAGTTACTGTCAATAGCGGCGAAGTTCAGGAAGACACCGAGAAAACCAATCTCTTCACAGGTATTGGTCCCGACCTTGTAAGCAGAAGCGTTTGGTATCTTTAAGGAACTAGCCTTTCGAATATTTAACTGTCTTCCCACACTTCTTGTAACCCAGCTGTACATCATATTGGTTTCCGTATATTGCACAGTACCACCGCAACACTTACTCTCTTTAATACCCAGATAGCTCACCACCTTAGTAGAGTTGGAGAAAACTTTCCTAGTAGAGTAGGATTTATGGAAGAATTTCTTTACTAGAGGTTATCGAGACTTCCTCTCTTGCGTGGAGTAAAACGATCAGCTTCAAAGTGTTTGTGTTTTGTGGTCGAAAATAGGCGGTAATGTTGGATCGAACGTGCAAACTAAAAAAAAAAAAAAATAACGGTTGATATCCCAACTTACGTAAAAAAAAACCTTTTGACCCTCCACTGCGTACAAACGCACCTTAGAACGACATTAACCGACATACCGTCATCATATTTTGAACGCTTGCATCATGAACCCTTTAATTGAAATGTGTAACATTATTTGTTTTTTTTTTGCCTTACTTCTCATACTTCTCATTCGGCTTATGAAACATTTAGTTACTGTTTTAGGTAATCAATTGCGCCATCTAAAAAACTTAAAAGCTCATGCCAAACCACCCCTTCATCTGTTGATTGTCGTCTTGTGGTTAACACAACTTTTTTTTTCAATTCACACATAAATTTAATGATTCTATGAAAATAAATCACTCAGGTTAAAAAAAAAAAAAAACTTTTTAAAAAATTACGTTAATATCTTTGCGTAAAAAAGCTTACCAGCGTTTTCCGGTGTTGTCATCGCTTGCAAAATCTTAAATGATCGACTTGGTATTGCGCTACCGGTATATTTTTTCGGTTCGGGTACTTGTTGTTCACTGGGATGGACATATGGTTGTGGCATGTCTAAAATAATAATACATAAATATATTTTTGAAAATTTCATCCTTGGATAAAAAAACAACAGAAACACAAAAAACATTTAACGATTTTCACACTAATACACTACAGTCCAACAAGCTTGCAATAAGCTCACCATTGAAGTTGTTGTAAATGGTGCGTGGTAGAGTGCTTTTCGAAGCATTACCTAAAAGAAAAGAAAACGGAGAATTACATATATAAATATGTTGATTCGCCTTGGTGGAGCGTAGTGTTCTGTACAAATATTTGTTTATGCTGTGTGCAAAATGTAAATGTATTTTGTGTAGATGTGTGAGTGTTAAAAATATTAATGTGCTTTTTTATTAAATGGCTAAAATTTTCCATACACCAAAAGTCATTATTTTGTGAAATTTACAAAGCTCAACTAAAAGGAAACCTAATTAAGGAGGTTACAAGTTTATTTAATTTTGTTTTTATATTAGAAATAGCCAACTCAGAAAGCCGAAAGCTTTTCGAACAACAGCGCGTTAAAAAGCTTTACAGCAATCGAATGAGCAAAATATGTGCGCCAATTTCACTTGCTTTACCTTCTTTTTAAGACTCCTTATTCCAGTTAATCACTACTATGTAAATATGTACAAATCTATGCTAACATTGAGGATCACGTAATTACGAAAAAAAAAAAATCTAAATTAAGCTCTGCACTTCACTTTATAGCACTTTGGTTTCCCACGCGCTACAAGAGCTTTCACCTGCTCTCTCTTCTTATTTACTTGTATTTATTTGTTTTTACTTCTCAACAACTTCTACATGTACCTTGTTGCACTTAAGCTTTGTTGAAGCTTTTGCAGGGTACTAAGTAACCCACCTTGATTCCATGTCTGTGGCGATTGTGACGGTTGTTGTTGTTGCTGCTGCTGCTGCTGTTGCGAATCTTGTGTGATTTGCATGCGTCTCATTTGTTCCACATTCGGTTGTTGGCGCGCCTGTTGGGCGCTCATTTGTCTCGCATATTGTGGGCGCTGCAATTGGGGCTCTGCATCCGTATTGTTTTCCACTTTCTTATCATCCCCTCTACTGTCGTCAATAGTATCAGTGATTTTTTGCAAAATTCTAAAGGATTTCGATTGTATGGGTGACGAGCGTGGATCGCTAGAAGAAGTGGGCGAGTTGCTAGAGGTTAGATGTTTTAGTGATGATGTCAATTAGTAGCGCAAATTTTGTTGATTAGTGGTAAAATACTGAACAAAAGCTTTGTTGTTAAACATCGAGTGGTTGTGCGTGTGTGTGTGTGTGGGCGAAGGTGCTCAGTGCTTAATAAATTGACGTTGAAGTGAGCTTTTGAAAGCTCCTACCTTGAAGTAGCAATATTCAATAAAGTTTTATCGAAAACTATTTTCCTCGTGTAGGTATAGAAAAATTACAAAAAAAAATTTCGGACGCTATTGGTTTCATAGAAAGCTTGATGACTTCTATAGCTTTCAACGTATATATAGTACATATGTACATACATATATCANTTATTCAATAAAGTTTTATCGAAAACTATTTTCCTCGTGTTGGTATAGAAAAATTACAAAAAAAATTGCGGACGCTATTGGTTTCATAGAAAGCTTCTATAGCTTTCAACGTATATATAGTACATATGTACATACATATATCAGTTTTCCAGTTTGTAGCATTTCTCTCAACTGTACATATCCCTATTTCGAAAAGTTTGATTTGAAATTATTTTCAATATAGTTAAAAACTATGAGGTCTCAAGGTTGCATAGTTCAAAATTTCAACTTTTTTCAGAGGCTTTAATTGATTTTGATATGATTGAAAAAACCACCTAAAAAATCTTTGAACTTTCAATAGAAATGAAGACTTAGGATCAGTTGCCACTTTATAAGCACAAACACCGAGCTTCTTAAAGCTTTCATTGGATTTTATATAGAGCTTTTTTGAAAAAAAACAGAGTTGCCATTTCATAAGCAAAACACCGAGCTTTTTAAAGCGTTCAATGCATTTTATATAGCGCTTTCAAAAGCCCAAAAGCTCATTGGAGTNTTTGTAAAAACCACCTAAAAAATCTTTGAACTTTCAATAGAAATGAAGACTTAAGATCAGTTGCCACTTTATAAGCACAAACACCGAGCTTCTTAAAGCTTTCATTGGATTTTATATAGAGCTTTTTTGAAAAAAAAAACAGAGTTGCCATTTCATAAGCAAAACACCGAGCTTTTTAAAGCTTTCAATGCATTTTATATAGCGCTTTCAAAAGCCCAAAAGCTCATTGGAGTATTTTACTGTATATACAGGTGTATATTTTGCATACTTGATTTAATAGCTTTGGAGGTGTCAGTGATATTGTTTAAGCTTTCTAAAGCCCAAAAGCTCATTGGGGCGTTTAACTGTATTTTCAGGTGTATGTTTTGCATATTTGAAAAGTTATGTCAAACTTAGAAAGTTCTAAATATTCAAAGCTCCGAGTCTATTACTAACACTTGCAGGTTGTCGGTTGCATAAACTTATTTTTGAGAACTTTGGCAATTTTAAAAAGAGTAGTTAGCTTTAAATCTGTTAAATAGTTTTGTCAAATTTGAAATCTTCAAAAGCTCCTTGAAGTTTATTACTGACTTTTAAAAAGCGTTAGCTGAATGATATCTAAATTTTTTGGAAACTTTGAACTTAGAAAATTCGGAATTTTTAAAAGCTTTTAAAACTAGATACTTTTACGGGGTAATAAATTATCTTCATCGTTGATGGTAAATGTTGTGGATGAGCTTTTAAAAGCTTTTAAGGAGAGTATTTTCAAATGCATCGCATGTGTTTGAAAATTATGAAAATTATTAAGTTAGATGTCTGTAGAAGAATTAAAACTGCAAATTAAAAATCTACAAGTTCTCAGGACTAGGTGGAAAAGTATAAGTTGGCTTGAATGTTGAATTAAAGATGGGAAAAGGTATGATAATCCTGCAATTCAGAGACGATTATTGTCTTTCAGTAAATATTCGCATACCGGTTTTAGAGAGAACTATGCAAAACTATAAACGTTAAAAAATGTGTCTAAGTAAACTTTTAACTTGAAATATTTTAAACAAAAGTATGTGTTTCCAATTCAATTTTAGTTTGAATATTTTATGATTCATTGTTAATGATGAACTTTTTGACTGCCAAAGCAAGCCTTTGTGTTTTTTCATGCCGCACGCACACAAAACTACACAACACTCATACATGACACGTGACACGAACATTTTTTGTTTACACCTCTCACCCTACCTGAGACGACTCTTTCTGTACTGTATTTCCGCCTCAAGTGGGCACTCGTAAACTACCAGATTGTAGTGTTCACTTAATCACCGATGTCAGAGGCAACAAAAAATACCAAACAAAAAATTTATAAAAAAAGCGGTAATAAAAAGCGCAAAGCTAGTGAAAGCGTTTTTAAATGTACAATATACATATTTTTTAAATCAAAAATCAAATGAGGAACAGTAGTATGTAAATGCTGCGTGCTTTCAAAACAATGGAATAACTGCGCTGATAGAATTATAAAAAAGTAACTTTGAATTGCAAGCTTTTTCTAAAGCTTTCACGCCACGCAACAGCTGCTTACTTACTTTTGCAAAATGATCGGCGATGGTGAAATCGGGCCGCGTGTGCCCTCACTGCCAGCACCACCCTCCATGGTGATGGGTATGATGCGTGAGCGGTTGCCGGCGCTACCAGCATTATTATTTGTATATTGCTGTTGTTGTTGTACAATGCGTGGTGCATTTAATTGCTGTGTTGGTGACATTACGCGCTGCGCATTGACAGCAGCAGCCGACGCGGGCTGCTGTGTGCCAGTCGCTGTTGGATAATTGTTGTAGCCCTGATCAACGAACTGATTTGGCGAACGAACCACAAAGTTATTCGGTGCTGCAGCGGAGAATGTTAGCTTGTAAATATTTTGAAATGTCGGAAACTTTTCTCACATAACTTACCATTGTTAACGCCACCATAGCTGACATTGAATTTCGGTTGTTGTTGTGGCGTATTGGTCGGTGTCTGCTCCAATTGTATGGGTATAATGCGTTCCTGTTGTGAAACAAACGAGTTATGCTTTAATAAAATACAACATTTCACATTGAATTTTCCACTCACCCTTGGGCCAGTTTGTTGATTTGGCGCACTACTGGCATTGTTGGCATTGATTTGCAAACGCAATCCAGTGCTTCCAACACCTTGACTACCGAAATTCGCTGGCGTTGCTGCGGCAAAGCCATTACCCTGCTCGGGCTGATAGCCATAGTGTTGCGTTTGTGGTTTTTGTTGTTGTTGCTGCTGTTGATAGTACAATTGTTGTTGCTGCTGCTGCTGCTGCTGCTGCTGTTGCTGTTGTTGTTGTGCTAGTTGCTGTTGCTGTTGCACTTGTGACTGTTGTGCTGTCATTGCTGGTGGTGGTGGCGACTTCATGCGATGCAACGACGATGGCACCACATTGCCATTCTCTTCAGGACGCGCCCATTCGGGTTGCTCATTCGCTTTGGGTTTGCTGCTCAACCAAGGCACGGTTGAGCGCATTGGCTGCGATTGTTGTTGCTGTTGTTGTTGTGGTATTTGACGTATTGGTGATTCACGTTGTTGCTGTTGCTGCTGAAATTGACGCACAACACTCGGTGCTTGCGGTTCAGTTGGTGGCGCCAATGGTGCGATGTAGAGGGAGCCGACATTGGTCTGAAAATTGTAAAATAAGACGAAATTATAGCTGGATTAATTTTCTTCTGTGAAAGATCACGAAATTAAAAAACGAAAGGCTAATTACACAGCCCCAAAAAATATGGCGGATATCGTGCGTGGCTAGAAAAAAATACTAACGTGATGAAGCAAAACGAACATCAGATTTTTTTATATGTAGGTTAAAACAAGTCCTTGCAGGTCAAATATAAAGGACTTGTGGTGTCTTGAACCGGTGATTTGCAAATTCTTCTTAAATGGGAATACGATTTCACCAAAATTTTATTTTAATAAATATTTTAACTCTAAAAAACTAAAGTAATCGAAAGAACGGTGCAGGTTCTGCCTCGGAAGATACGGCTAATCCGCCAAATCTATATATATAATACGCGAAGGGATTTTTTTTTTTCAGGATAAAAAAATGGGGTGTCAAATTAAAGCGCTTGGCCTGTAGATGTGCAAACTGGTTTTATTTTTTGGAACAGAGTTGCCACCTATAGTTCAATTGAATTCAAATAATTTAATAAGCAATGCCATAATAACCGCGCCGTTCGTTCGATTTTCCCAAATGAGATGTCAAATTAAAACCCTTGGACTGAAGATATGCAGTAAGGTTTTACTTTTTTGAAAAACAGTTGCCATCTTTTAAAAAATTATATTAAAATTATTAAAAAAAAAAAAAAAATATTTCAAAACCAATGGAAATGGTTTTGAAAATCTTTCTTTCTTAACTAAACTTTAGAAGGGTTGCCACCTGTTTAAAAAATCAAATTAAATTTTAATTAAGAAAATTAAATAGGGGGAAAAATTTCAATATATGGGTGCCAAACGAAAGGGGCTCAGAAGGTAGCAGTTTGAAAATTTTTGAAGTGGGTTGCCACCTGCTTGAAATTTCGAATTTAGCTAACTTATCCAAAAGTTATATGAAATGTCAAAATATGGATTTCAAACGAAGGCTTTAGTTTAAACATTAAGAATATTTTTGAAGTGGGTTGCCTAAAAATTTATTTCAAATTATTAAATAAGTTAAATGAATTATTAAAATATGGGTATCAATCGAATGGGTTTTGGACAATCTTTACTTCTGAACCATATTTAGGGGGGTTGTTTAAAAAATAAAATGCAACTTAATTTATTAGTTAATTAAAATATGTAGCGCAATGTTAGACGAAGAATATTTAAGAATATCTTAGCGCGAAACTACCTTTGGAGGGGCGTGCTACCTGTTTAAAGAGTCGCAAGTTATTGAAGCATGAAGCGAAAATGTATTAAAAAAAAACTTGAGTTTGAACATTTAGAATGTTTAAAAAGGGTTGCCACGTGCTTATTATTTAAGAAGTTGGATGAATTATTAAAAATGGGTATCATCGAAATGATTTTAAAAAGGCTTTATTTCTGAAATATATTTAGGAGGGTTGCCACCTGTTTAAAAAATCCAACTCAACGTAAATTAGGGCAATTACTTAATTCAAGTATGTGTTTTAAAATTTGTTAAGAAATCTTCCGCTTGAACAGTATAAATATTTTTTGGGTGTTTTAAGAGGGTTTCCACCTGTTCAAATATTCAAATTATTTAAAAAGTCAAATGAATTATTAAGATATGGGTGTCAATCGTATTGGGATTGAAAAGGCTTTATTTCTGAAATGTATTTAGGAGAGTTGCCACTTATTCTATAAGCTGCATTCAAATTATTTTATATGTTTATTGAATTTTTAAAGGATGGATATCAATCGAAATGAATTGAAAAGGCTTTCAGGTAGGTTTCACCATTCACTCCCCAGTAAATTTAAACCAAATTCGCTTCGAACTCAAATTACACTTTGTAGAAGTTTACTCGAAAATAAATTGTACAACCTGAAAAATTAAGACCTTGCCTTTTTTGAAATTAGGAACTTTTTATCGGGGGATTTAAAATTTGATAATATTAAAAACATACTATGCGAAACGGCTACACAGATTCCTAAGCTTTTATAACCTATTAAGTCTTGATATGAACTAACTAGGCCAGAATATTTTTATGACTTTTTTATCGTTTAGGGCATAAGTTAAACTTGTTTAATTTTTTTTTTTTTGTTTCTATGCTTCTTTGTATATATTTTTAAGATATTTTTTAATATTTTTGGAAGCTCTATAGCCCATGGGGAGTAACACTACTACTATAATTGACAGCAAATTGCCGCTACTGATTACAAATTGAAATAATTGTGCCCACGGTCTGAAGACGATAATCATGGTTTGACCTGCGCAAATCCCAGATATGAATCTAATCGCAAACTTACTTAATCTCAAAGGACGAAAATTTTAAAACTTTATTTTCATTTTTTTTCTGATTAACTAAAAAGCAGGGAGGTCCTGCAAAAAATTAATATAATTTCTTTGCAAGCTATATGCCCTTCATGAAAAATCNATTGACCTGCGCAAATCCCAGATATGAATCTAAGCGCAAATTTACTTAATCTAATTCAAAGGACGAAAATTTTAAAACTTTATTTTCATATTTTTTCTGATTAACTAAAAAGCAGGGAGGTCCTGGAAAAAATTAATATAATTTCTTTGCAAGCTATATGCCCTTCATGAAAAATCGAAGTTATTCTAATTGTTGTTAGTAGGCTATATTTCTGAATCATTTTCAAGAATGTTTGATCTACATGCTCTTGCGCTGTGTGCATAATTTTGGCAATCTTTAAAGATCCACCCGTCCGTCACCCTCTCTAAAATTAGGGGAACTGTTTTTTTTATTGAAAAACGTAAAAATTTCCTTAAAAACATTCATTTAGGCAATTCAAAATTGGATTAAATAGTTGCGACCAATATCAAAAAATTCTTATTATGAGTGAAGAAGTAAAACGCTTGTTTCGAGAGCGCAACACAAGCGAATGATAATAAATATTTGAATGAATTATTGCTTCGTTAAAAAAAAAAANCAAAAATTTCCTTAAAAACATTCATTTACGCAATTCAAAATTGGATTAAATAGTTGCGACCAATATCAAAAAATTCTTATTTTGAGTGAAAAAGTAAAACGCTTGTTTCGAGAGCGCAACACAAGCGAATGATTATAAATATTTGAATGAATTATTGCTTCGTTAAAACAAAAAAAAAAGAACACCAATAAGCAAGAAAAAAATTAAAACAAGAACAAAAAAAGGAAAAAACAGTAACAAACAATATAAATTAATTAAATTTGAATTTTGAGTTAAATGAGGATTTTATGTTAATTTGCTATATTGCTTTATTATCATACTCATTAAATACTAAACCGCATAATTTACCTACTGCATATCTATTTTCGCTTATTTCTTGACAATCTAAAAATGTAAGCGAATTTTATGTAATTTCTTCTTCCCCTTAACAGAAACTAATTTTTATTGTTACCGTTTTTCCCGTAACTGCTGCGGAAACATAGATACCCCTGGAAGAAAATGAAATTTCAATGCAGGATTTTACACTTAGAAAATGATATTGATCAGAAAGGCACTTAAATTGCTCATCTAAAATCGGCTCTAACAGCCAATTTCACAAAAGCCATTTAAGTGAAAAATGATTTTAATTTTTCAAATTTTATATGGAAATTGACAGAAAGTAAAAAATAATTTTCCATTTAAATTGCTGGTGAAACCGACTGTAAGAGTTATTGAATTTTTTCCGCTTTTCGTTGATTTGGACCATTGCGGAAACCCCTGGACCATTGAGGAAAACCAGTACGCAATCTCAACAGATCTCAGCCAAAAACTGTGCGACAAAAGTGTTCCGAGATGACTTAAAAAGCTACAATATTCAAATTAATCCAATTTATTAAAAGTCAAGCGAAACTTTGCTACAAAACTGGAACAATCAAGTTGCTAGATTTTTTTTCCAACTTCCTTCTTTATCAGGGCTGCCAACTATAATTATCTATGAAGTGCCACACTGCAGATAAAAAAGTGCCAAAATGTGCCGAATAAAAAAATAAAAAGTGCCAAAAAGGTGTCATTATTTTTAATTCTTCCCATTTAGCATTGAAATTAGAAACACATTCCTAAATCAAATGTCCGATGCCAAAATAAGATAAACCAGTTGTATACACTATTGAAATTACAAAATTTTTGTTGAGAAAAACAAGTACACGCAAAGGATTTCACAAATATGTATTACTATTTTTCTTAAGTGCCATTTTGGCACTTTGTGCCAAATTGAAAAGTTGAGTGCCATTTGAAGTGAAAAGGGCCNTACTATTGAAATTAGAAAATTTTTGTTGAGAAAAACAAGTACACGCAAAGGATTTCACAAATATGTATTACTATTTTTCTTAAGTGCCATTTTGACACTTTGTGCCAAATTGAAAAGTTGAGTGCCATTTGAAGTGAAAAGGGCCAAAAATGGCACGGTTTGAGCCAAGTTGGCAGCCCTGTTCTTTATCCGCTTGTTTTAATTATTCTTGTTATCGTCTTCTGATGAAAGGATAAGGATAGTAAATGTGAAATCCGAAACTAGATTACAAAAAAAAAAATCGTAAAATATTTCGAAGTTATCGCAAGGAAGTTCACATTATTTGTTATTGCTCCGGTTTGGCTCCTCTGGGTACATTAGGGTGGTCCAATAACAGAAAAATCGGAATTTTAATGCTCTCACCCCCTAGCATAATGTATACCCCTATTTTTTTTATTTTGAAATAAAAAAATATTTGGAGGTCGCTCAAAGCATTCCATGTATTTTTATATGGCAAAAAAACAGTTTTTCGAAGAAATGGAAATAGAATTCCTGAAAATCANAAATCCTAAAATATTTCGAAGTTATCGCAAGGAAGTTCACATTATTTGTTATTGCTCCGGTTTGGCTCCTCAAGGTACATTAGGGTGGTTCAATAACTGAAAAGTCGGAATTGTAATGCTCTCACCCCCTAGGAGTGTTCTGTATAGAAAAATGTATACCCCTATTTTTTTATTTTGAAATAAAAAAATATTTGGAGGTCGCTCAAAGCATTCCATGTATTTTTATATGGCAAAAAAACAGTTTTTCGAAGAAATGGAAATAGAATTCCTGAAAATCAATATTTTTCGATCGGAAAACTCTGGTTCTCTTCAGGAAACTTTCAGTAATTGCTTATTTAACCATTTTTTAATACTAGCGATTTTTTATTGGTCTCCCCATTGCATTTAACGGGGTTTTTGTGGGTTTTTGGCGGACCTATAAATTATAGTTGCGACAAAATAATTGTTAAATAAACTATTGGGTATTATTATTGGGAATCTCCTGCAGATAAACCGAGTTTTCCTATAGAAAAACAGTGATTTTTAAGAATTCTATACCATTTATACGAAAAGTTGTTTTTACTTGGAAAACTTTGGACGCTTTGAGCGACCTTTATGTAAGTATTTTCTGATTTCATAATAAAAAAATTGGGTATATTTTTTCCGGTATAGAACAATCCTAGGGGGTGAGAGCATAAAAATTCCGACTTTACTTTTTCACATGCATTTTTGGACCACCCTAGTGTACACACATTGTACATACATACATTCTTATTATTCACAATCATAGCTACATACGTAAGCTGGTTGCAGAAATAATATAAACGGCTTATTTTGACTAGTTTTCTAGTCTTATATTTAATTTTTTTTTTATAAAAATCTAACCATATAATAAACTGCATATAAATGTACGTTTCCAGCTTTTCGTTCGCAAACAAATTTCGAAAAATCGATTTAAGTTTTTATAAATTGAAGTTGCTATATAAAATCCAAAAGCCGAAAAGTCCGTCAGCAAAAATATATTAAAAATCAGCGCTAATGCTTAGCTGCTTCAAACATACACTTTAAAAAATGTTATGGGCTTTAAAAATTTGTTGAATCTTTTAATTAATTTTAAATATTGATTTACATATATGCAGTTTATTATATAATGAGCTACACTTGCATACAAAAAAATTTATATTAAATAAGCAAAAGAAATATAGTCAAAACTTGGCAAAATAAAGCGTTCCTATTATTTCGGCCACCAGTGTATATACATATGTAATTGTACACAAGCATTTAAGTGTCAACTAGCGTAGAATGTTTCCATCAATTTTTGCGATAGTTTGCCGACAACTGCAAAAAGTGCTCATCAGTTTTAATTAAAATTTGTTAATCAGCTTCCAAAAATACTATCTTAGGAAATTATTGTCAAATTAATTTACAACAGCTGAACATGAATGTCATAAGAAACAAAAAAAAAGTAAAATCGTTTAATTCGCTCTTATACACATACATATGTACATTAGTGCAAATCAACACGGCATTGATAAAAATAGACATTTCCGCATGTTTTGAATTAGACGGCACACACACAAAATTTTCTAAAATACATACATATTGATGTACTGAGGAAAGAGTTTAGTTGACGCAACTTGACTATGCATATTCTCAGTGTCTGTATGTATGTAGTTATATTAGGCTAGTGAAAAAGAAAAGTAATGTCGGAATTTGAATGCAATAAAAATTGTTAATATTAAAAATTGGTAAAATAAACAAATGGGGTATTGTTTTTGGGCGTCTCCTGAAGAGATAAAAAAGTTTTATGTTCGAAAATTATTGATTTTCAAGAATTCTACAAATGCTAGTTCTACGAAAAATTGTTGTTTTCCCATATCAAATACATGGAAAACTTTGAGTGCTTGAGCGGCTTCTAAATATTTTTTGATTTAAAAAAAAAAAAANAAAAATTGTTGTTTTCCCATATCAAATACATGGAAAACTTTGAGTGCTTCTAAATATTTTTTGATTTAAAAAAAAAAAAAAAATAAACGGATATATTTTTTCGGTGAGAGCGTTAAAATACCGACTTTACATTTTATTTTTTTGAACCACCCTAATGTATATGCACCTACATTTGCACATGCTTATATGAATTTAGTCTATATTTGTAGCGAGTAGTGTTTTGAATTGTAGAAAGAAATTTAGAAAATGTAAATTCTCATCTCTGTAGTCTGCTCGGTCATAGTTGTGTGAAAATTTAAAAAATTATCAAAATTTTCAAGTTTGCGAGAGTTGAGATGCAGCCAAAAAATACACTACATATAGTTTCACTTACTTTACTTTAATTTCACACCACGATATGTTCAATCCGTAGCCGAAATATTCCGAAATATATATATATATATATATATTAGACTGCATCACCAAAAAAAAGTTGGGGTTTTTCCGGCGGGATTACAAAATGTATTATATTTTAAGACGTTCACCAGGACCAACAACTATGCCAAGTTTGGAAGAAATTGGTGCAGCGGTTACCACGCCCATTTGCCGAAATGTTATAATATTCTTATTTTTCGTCTAAAACTAATTGTAAATATCAATTTTGAGTGAATTATCTTTAGTAGTTACTAAAATATCGCAGTTTTCGTATTTCTGAAAATTACCGTTATATGGGAGGTAGGCGTGGTTATTGTCCGATATTCGCCCATTTTCAATAGCATCCGTCCTATGCCCAAAAGAAGTCCACGTACCAAGTTTCGTTAAGATATCTCAATTTTTACTCGAGTTATCGTGTGCACAGACGGACGGACGGACGGACAGACAGTCACCGCTTAATCGATTTCTCTTTTCATTCTGATCATTTATGTATACATTTGTCTTTGTCTATATCTATCTCGATTCGTTTTGCCTGTTACAAACAACCGTTATGTGAACAAAGTTATAATACCCTTGTGCACAAGTGCGCTCGGGTATAAAAATAGTTTTGTAAAGAACTTTTTGAAAAAAGTGCCCTCAGATGACAAAAGAGACTAAGGTTAAAAAATCTGCATACAAATATTTTAAAATCTTTTCAATGGGATCGTAAGAATGAGATTTTTTTATGCTGTTTTTTTACTTTTTTCAAAGATTGATTTACGAAAAACTTAAATAACTGGGCCAAAACTATTCTGATTTAGACTTATGGGATCTCGGTAAAAAGGTATTTTCACACCGATTTTATTTCTGTCCAAAAAAATATCATTCGTGTCGCAATTTTATTTATTTTTTTTTCAAATACCAACACATCTTAATTCAACTTTGAATGACGTTCGTTCATCCTACCTTTCTCTTTCATCCTTTGAATGAGTTTATTAGCAAAGAAATGAAAAGGGTGAGAAAATACCTTTCCACCGACACCTCTTAAGTCTAAATCAGAAGAGTTTAGGCTCCGTTATTCAAGATTTTCTTAAACCAATCTTTGAAAAAAGTTAAAAAACACCATCAAAAATCTCATTATTACGATTCCGTTCAAATTTTTTTTAATTTTTTTTTTAATATCTTTATTCAAATTTTTTAAGCTTAAACGGTTTTGTTATTTGAGGGGATTTAAAAAAAAAAATTTAAAAAACTATTTTTATTCATAAAAAATTCCATTTTTGGTGGTATTTTGAGCCGCACTTAAATCTTAATATTTTTTCGAAATATTTTGGTGGACTTGTTAAAATATAATAGATTTTATAATTCCAATGGAAAAATAGTACCGATTTTTTTTTGTATGGGGAGTGTTGCAGTCTAATATATGTATATATGTATGTACATATATATATTTTCCAAATTTTACTCACCGGCTTTGGACCCTGATATGCTGCTGGAGCTTGTTGAGTGAGTTGTTGCTGCTGCTGCTGTGGCGACACATTGTTATATATTGCTGTCGATTGCGGCTGCTGCTGCTGTTGTTGTTGTTGTTGCGTCGGAGTACGTTGATTGCGCCAAGGCACAGTTTGTGCTGATGGCTGTGAGTTGGGAGAATTGTTGGTTGATGTTGATTGTATTGCTGTTGGTGACGGCGCGTACGGCTTTGGCGATTGTTGTTGTGGCTGTTGAGCCAATGGTGATACAGCTGGTGCAGCACGTTGTTGTGGCTGCTGCTGCTGCTGCTGCTGACCACCATATCTGAAGGGACTTTCAGTGGCGCGCTGTGTTGGAGTGCCGGCATCAGCGCGTGGGCTATCCGTTTGCCGTGTGTAGACATTTGTGATAGGCGATTGCGGTGGGGCGACACTGCGGAACTCATTTCTTGGCGATTGTTGTTGCTGTTGTTGTGGTGGAGTTGAGGCCGACAATGGTGGTGTTGCATTGTTGGCGTATTGAGGCTGCTGCTGTTGCAGTGGTTGATACGATTGTGGGGAGTACGTGGGCGGAGTTGGTGTGTACTGCTGTGGTTGAGTGGAGTTGTTGCTGCAGTTCAGTTCAGGTTGTTGGGTAGTCGTTACTGGTTTCTTGTAACCTGTTGAAGGTGTTGGTAAAAGATTAAAAAAATAAAAGTGTTGAAATATTGAATTTTAGTGCATAGAGTGATTTATAGATTAATTCTTGGAACCGTTAGTGTTTCTTTTGTCGTGAATTTAGGGTGCGATGCGTGAAGGTTAGCAGCGCCATCACCATTTAGAGAGTTAGTTGAGCCAGTAAATAGTATGTAATAGTAATAATCAATTTTACAATTCGTTTTCAAACACATTTTTCATTACCAGCTATTTGACTATACCAGCACCATTAATAAATTAGTTGACCCAAACCCAAAGCATAAAAAATTTTTTTAATTTTTTTCAACATGTAAGCAAGTATCAAGCTCCTTAGGATCTGAGGTCTGCCGGTTCTTCTGTAAACCCTTTCGCCTCTTCACCCAACTTCGTGTACTTAAAATACGTTATAGCCGTTGCTCAAATCACCAAGAACCAAGGTTAGACCCATACAAAGCGTTGATGTGGTGATTAGGTGATGAACCCTAAAATAAACGTAGAAAATGCCTTAACACATTCTCTACACGCATTTCTCACCATCGACATGTTCGTTGACATCGTTGTTGCTGTTGTTGTTGTTCAAAATAACTTGAGCACGCTCACCATAACCGCCGTTATTCGGTGAGCTAGCTCTGTCATTTTCACCCACCATGGGACTCTTGGAGCGTTCGCGCACATATTCATCCTTCCAGAAGGTATTCTTCTCCACCGGCGGTGGTACTTTGCGCAAGGCCGCCATTGGATTTGGCGGAATTTTGATTTCTGGTCGGAATCCCATTGGTGGCGGTTCGAAGCGTTGCGGTGTGGGCGACTTGCGTTGCGCGTTAGGCGAACCAGGCGCACTGCCCGGTCCACCGCCATTGTGTGGTGGTGCTAATGTGGAGGAGGAGCTAGGTGGTGGTGGAGGTGGCGGTGCCGATGTGCCATTAAATTTCTTACCCGCTGCTGTATTTGGCGCTGGTGGTGGTGGCGGTGGCAGCACCTGGAAGGGCATACCCATGCCGGCGGCACCAATTTGAGAGGCAGCATTGCAGCCACCCGGCGATTGCGGCTGTGTCGGTCTGTTCAGCTGTGATGCACCCGTCGCGCCCTCGGCTTGGGCGTTGCGCGCCAAACGCTTGGCCATGCGCTCCGATTTGATTTGTGAGAGATCAATGCCGCCCGGTGTGTAGGTGAAGGGTTTCTTGTCTTTAGTCACCATAGCATTCTGCACACAAGCGGGTGCCTCATAGCCCCGTTGTGCTGCGGAGCCGCCGTACCTGAAAGGGTGAGAGTAGAGGAGAAAGCGTTAATTTAGTGTTTTTAAATTAATATTTCTAAGCTAGTAATTCACTAATAAAATTAATAAATAAAAGCATATAATGTAAAAAAAAAAATTTAATGTTTAATTCTGCACAAATAGTGAAAACAACGCCCTGTGTGCTTTGACGTCATCATGAAAAAAAAACATTTTTAGAAAAAGTCCACGCACACGCTCAACATCTTTGTGACGCGTGAACTGCCAATAGTTTTTGTGCCAACTATATTTCATAGAAATAAAATTTTTTCAAAGAAAAATATACCACGGCTCTCGGGTAAAACGTAAGCACGTGCAAAATTAAGTGATGAGCAGTCGAATTTTCAGACAGTTGACTTCAATTGTTGGAGGAGGAAATGTTAGGGAGATTGACTCGGTCTTTCCAAACCGGTTTCCACCGGTTTTTTTTTTATATATCTGTAGGCGGTTTTTCGCATATCGCATAAACCGAATTTTTTATCGAACAAACCGGTTTGTTTGCATTTCATACACTTCCTGACATATCAATAAAAGTCTTTTTTCAGTTTAAGTAAAACCCCTAAGTATTTATGATGATTTCGTTTCTTCCAAAAAAATGCAAAATATTTTTGATGTTACACTGAACCCTGTAAAAGGCCATGTTTTTGCTTTCTTGTCCCTGTCTAGCTCACGCATTTCATTATACTGTCGTTTTTAACAGCCTGATCTGATCTGATTTTCAGGGCAACCTTCTCCCCTGACAAATCTTCAAAGGGCAGATAATGTGCCTTTTTTGCCTTACAAGAGTGTGACATTTTAAGAAACAAACACAAAATTTTCTCACCGTTTGCCTATCAAACACGAAATACAAAGGGACAATCAAAAGGCGAATTTTTTTGGTAGAAACGAAATCACCATTAATTTAAAAATTATAGCCTAGGTTATTTGAGGATGAACAGCATATCATATTTGATTCTAATAATGAATGTTTGGCGCTTAAACGAGCAATGACTCGAAACCCGGTTTGGGAAAGAGGCGAATAATCGAAGACCCTTGGAAATATTATAACCACACACATCTACTATCTGTATTGATATGACTATTCTCTGACGTAATTCAACTCGATTCACATCTAATGACAATTTTACGTACATACAGTATTGGCCAATACAATAGCACCCCTTTTCAAAGTGATATTGTTCCCCACTCATGTTTATTTATTTATTTTTAGGAATTTTCAATTGAAATACAGTTCACTCTAACAAAACCCATATAAACCCAAGTTTAAAACTTTGTAAAAACTACAAAAAATTTTAACAAATTTTCACATAAATTTCTAAAATTTTTCTCAGAAGTGTTAGAGTTTTTTTGAGTGCACAGTTTTATAGCCTATTCAATTTTAGTTTAACAATGTGCAAGTTTCAAGTGACTAAAGATCACCATTGATTTTTTAGATTTTTTTTCGCCGAAGGTGTTGCGGGTTTCTTCCATATAAAAATAAATTGTGTTTATTTATTATATGGAAGCAAATGCGACAAAAAAAATCTAAAAAAATCAACGGTAATTTTTAGCCACTTGACACTGTGCGTACTCAAAAAAAGTCTAATGCTTCTGAGAAAAAAGTTTGATATTTAGGTGAAAATTTGTTGCATTTTTTGTAGTCTTTTTCAAAGTTTCAAACTTGGGTTTATATGGGTTTTGTTAGAGAATGAACTGTATTTTAATTGAAAATTCTTATAAATTAATAATTAAACATAAGTGGCAAACAATATCACATTGAAATGGAGGTGTTATTGTATTGGCCAATACTGTATATGTCTTGGAAAATAACACCAATTTTTTATGCATGGGTTGCTACTCTTCTCTTTTGAACTCAATTTTTTTTTTTTTTTGAGTTGGCATTTATTTGAACTTTATCTAATTTCATCGAAAATGTATTCTTATATTTTCAATTTGACGTCTCTTACATAAATTCATTACTGTCTATCTCTCAAATTGTCAAATTGGAAATGCGATATTTCATAGGGACACAGATTCTTAGAAAATTATTATTGCTCAATATTTAATTAGCATAGTTTTCCACTTCTCAAATGCCTCATGGAATTGTTTTTAATTAAGAAATATACTTAGCGGATTTATTTCATCTATCGGAGTTCAGATATATACCAGTGTGTACATTAGGGTGCATCACTCTCCATACAAAAAAAAAAAAAAAAAATTGGTACTGTTTTTCCTTCGGAATTTCCAGCTCAGTACAGCTCACGTAAACCTTAATATTTTCCGAAATATGTTCGCAGACGTCTTAAAATATAATAATTTTGATAATTCCGGTGAAAAATCCGCAGCTTGTTTTATTGAAGCACCCCCTAATGTACATACATTTATTTTTCCAATATTTTTGATTTTTTTTTTTGTCAATCAAATCACGCTCGTATTAAATTTGAGCCACCACATTAAAAATAACCAAAAGATTCGCAAGTATCTGCAGCATGTTTACTGTTTGCTCTAATTGGTAATTTGTTAAATTGAAAATTAATTTTGCTACCTTCAAAAGCAAAGTGTAATTTTAAACGCGACCAACGGTTTTATTATTTTTTTTTTCACTTCAGCGTGATGTAAATGAGAACAGTGCTGGTGCGCATGCGCAGAAGTTGTAGACACTACAACTAAAACAGTTGCGCGACAATTTGAATTACCGCAAATATATGGCAAGACAGGTTGAGCGATAAAATTATTTAAATAAGCTGCAATGCCAAGAGACTTTAGTAAAATAAAAAATATGTAATATTAAGAAAAAAAAAAAATGGTAAAAACCCCTAACCACAACCGCCAAGCCATTTGAATACAAATATGAAGGTTTCGCTTAACCTACCAGTATTTTCTGATCTAAAACTAATTAAACTGTAATGGCACAGCTCAAATGGTACACACATAACATACGCGCTGTGGTCACCCACATGCTCTATGAATGTATATGTAAATGCATATGTACATATGTATGTTTGTCCTAGTGAGTGATGCAGAGTAAAAAAAATGCTTCAAAGTCAAGTTGTGGTGAGGCGAAATAAATTGTAGAAAAACAGATTTTTTTATTTTATATGCATAAAATATTTAACTTAAAATATTTACTTTAGTTAAAAACTACGCTACGCTTCCTCAACAAAGCAAATCAATAATAATAAATTTCCGATTTATTTCCCATACTTCAACGGCAATCTAATGTGCCATGATAATATATACATAGCTACTTTTTAGTATTTCAATGTCAGCAATAATAATCACCGACAATTGACAATTTTTCTTTGTCTACTTAAAAAATAATAAATAATCGAGAACACATTTATAGTCATAATAATTCAATGCATTCATTCAGTGTACAGCTAATTGCAAATGTGGAAATTGCATACATGTATGTATCTTGTTCCGCGCCCATTTATGGGCGTATTGCAATATGATTTGACAAGTGTCACTGAGCCGCTGCCGGCTAGCTGGCTCCTTTGCACTCGCATGTTACGCTTACAATTGCAGTGTGGTAGCTGGAACGCACAAAACGGGAGTCGTCAAGTAGCTTTTGCAGCACTGGCGTCAGTCAACACGTCAAGGTTCCTTATGCGCATGAATGAAGTTTATGATAGTTTATTACAAAAATCTAGAATTAATAGTTCAACTTCACTGATCCAAATATGGAAGTGAAAATTCGTAAAGTACGATAATGAAATATGAATATATCTAAAAACTTCAAAAAATATTCGTAATGATTCATCTAAATCATTTCTGAGTGATGAGAAGTCTCGCAAGGTGTCGGTTTTCAATTCATCAAATTTAAAATCACTCTGTACCGCTAAGAAGGTTCTAACTTCAAAAAAACAAAACTTATTGCACATTATGGAAAATCCCAGTTCTTTAATTCGACTTACCAAATTCGAAATAACGTGCAGATCTGATAAGCTTCAAAAAATTGGTGGAAACCCTAATTAAAAATATTATCAGTCTAAAATTTTCCAAAAACTCTATCGCTTGACATTAATATTTTCAATATTTCATTTAGCTTGTGCATAAGTAAAACAAATTCGACTTTTAAAATAGTTAGGCAAACCTTTTAAAAGTATTTTGAAACTAAAATCTTTTTAAGTTGAATTTGATGTTTTCAACACATGGCAACTCTTCTAAATACAGTTCAGAAATTAATTATTTTCAAACCCATTTGGATTGATCCAATCTTTTGACAATCCATTTAACTTATTAAATAATTTGAATTGAATTTTTTTAATTGAAGGGTTACCACCCTCTTCTGACACCCCAAAATATTCTGAATGTTCAAACTAAATATTTCTTAACGCTCGTTCGTTTGATACCCATATCTTAAAATGTAATGTACATAACTTGTGTATAATTAAACTAAGTTCGACTTTCAAAACAGGCGGCAACCCTCTTCAAAATTATTTTTGAACTAAAATCTCCTTAAATATCTTTCGTTGACATTGTTATACATTTTGTAAGTAACTGATGCAGTAAGTTGAATTTTATTTTTTAAATTCGTGGCAACCCTCCTAAATATAGTTCAAAAATAAAGGATTTAAACCCATTTCCATTAATAACCATGTTTTAAGAATTCATTTAACTTATTAAATAATTTGACTTTAACCTTTTAAACTGGTGGCGACCCTCAAACACATCAAAAATATTCTAAATTGCCAAATTCATATGACAGCCATTTTTAATATTTCATATAATTAGGTATAAAATAATTTCATTCGACTTCTGCAGTAGGCGGCAATCGTCTTTAAAATATTTTTTAACTACTACCTTCTTAAAACTCTTTTTTCTGACACCCATATGGTGATACTTTATTCACTTATCTAGTTTCTTTAATTGAAATTGAATATTTTTTAAACATGTGGCAACCCTCCTACACTATTTAAGGTTATTTATGAGCGGCCACTGTCCTATTTAGTGGTCAGTCGTGTTGATCTGTCATTTTGGTCAGGAAGTCCCCACAAACCG